GAACCAAATATAATCATTTTGAGTGGGTTAGCTTGAAAAGAGGGTGGAAATGTTGGTATTATTATATCAAATGTACCGTTAATATAGATCTGCATTTTAGTGCCTAGAAATGGGAAGTGACCACGAATTTAGTTATATTAAACAGATGTACAATTGACAAAAGGAACACTCCATGTATAGAGAAACATTTCTATATATTTACTTTTTAATGTACTGGTGAAACTGTAGGGCATTAACATTTCTAAATAATTGGTTGCCCTCTGAAGCCACGAAGTGATCCTAAAGGGTGCTTTATATTTTTCAAGCTTTTCAAAACCATTATTCTTTTATCCAATTCAACTTAACATTTGAAAGGCACATATTTCCTAAGATGAGATTTTCTAGATGGTATGTCATTTCAACACGGTGACTTGACTCTGGTAAAACTGTCAGCTTCTCTTGAAATAAATGAAGAAATGCACACATACTGTGGAAATGTAGCCATTTCATATCTGGGGGCGCTAAAAAGTGTTGGGTTTGTTTTGTTGCTGTTGTTGTTGTTGTTGTTAACCTATTGAGACAAGCCTAGCTGGAGAAGAATGAAAATACATCAGCTAGTTGTACCAAGTTCATAATCAATAAAAAGCTAAACACTTAAGCAGAAAATATATCACAGATTTGTTCCCCAGCAAAGCAACTATTTTTACCCTGCCATCATCCTCAGAAGCCACATTCTCACAGAAATCATTTGCTTGAAGCAGCCGCAATATGTGAACCCTATGTGGTCCTGTGACTCAGATTTAGGAATATTAGCCCCAGAAGGTCTGAAGACATTGTGCATTAGTATGTATTGAGACCTCATTCCAGGTGGCAAGCAGCTGGACTTTTTAAAAAATAAAACTTCCAAAATAAAGGCGAAGCGCCTGTTTCCAGGCAGTAAGTGTTATATTTAATTGAATCCTCCTCAAAATGTTATAAATTAGGCAGCAAAGGGAGCCGTGCATATTTAATATATTTGTTTTGTATTTCCACTAGTCGACAGCATAATGAAATTCCTTAACTACTTCTCTTTAACTTGCATGAAGAAAGCACGGTATGTTGCTAAATCTCTTTTCACCAGCACTGCCGAGAAACAACTTTAATCCTTGTTAGAAAATTGCCGAGTCTGGGACTGACAAAGAGCTCATGCTTGTTCCATTGTTAGTGCTCCCCGGCCCCAAGAGCAGAGCCCTTTACAGCTGCGTGGATCCCGCCCGGCTCAGCTGCACTATTTAGGAGAGGAGGTTTGTCAATTTCTATTGACAATGGAGAGAGTTTTTCAGGGCCTGTAGCAGTGCTGACACAGTTGGGGATCAATGCCAGCCATTCAGAATGCACCCTCTTTCATTGCTTTCGTTTGTTAATTCAAGACTAAAGGTCCACTGAGGGGGTTCAGGGTGTTTAAGAAAGCTGATGAACTGTTTAAAAAAGCTGATGAACTGCAAGCGTTTATAGCCCTGGTGTGGCAATTTCCATAGTCAGTGGCAACTCCTGGCACTGAGGGAGCTGTGTCCTTGTTGACCCTCTTGTTATTAAAAATGCACAAGTGCTGCGCTTCTCAATATTTCAACACTCTTTCATTGTCAATACCACCTTCTGAGCCCTTCAGCTTGTTGCTTGCTCTAAAGATCTTCTTAGATTGGGTTTGAAAACTTCACCTTAAACACTAGATTAGACTGATGTTCTGTTTTCCGTGCTCCTGTTGATTTGTTGAACCTTCCCAGGGCTGGAAAGCAAGTAGCAGCTTGATGGGGAGACGGGCTGCTAATATGATTTACCAGTCTACAGTCATGCACAATAAGTGTGAATAAATACAGGGGTCTCACAGAGTCAACCCTAGCCTTTCCTTTGCTTTTCTTTTTGCTTTAAAAGAGATATCTCAAGAAAATGAAGTGAGTAAGGCATGCCCTTACAGGAGTTGAATGAACCACAAAAAAGAAAAAAAAAAAACACATATATTTTGTTAAAGTGGTAGGCTGCTGGCATGGATTGATGGAGAAAAAAAGCGTAGAATATACACTAACTGCTTTATTCTTAAGTAGACCAAGCAGGGAATAAAGCAGTAATGCCATACCCACGACTTGAGTGCAAGCTCCAGTGCCCCTTCGTTGTCATCCCCTGAAAGGAAAAGTGAATAGTCAAACAAGTTGCTTTATAAAATTAACTTTTCCAAAATGCAAGCACATTTTCTAACAGTCACACTTCAGTGCACATTCACCCCTTTCAAATTTTTTTTTCTTTGCTTTGGAGGGTGGTTTGGTTTGGTTTGGTGGGGTGGGGGGAATGATGCTAACTTACCTTTGACATTTTTCTCAAGATGAAAAAAATGAAATCTATGGTCCTCCACCCAGAAGAAGGACATAACCATTCCAACACCAGAAATAGGAAAATGCTAGTGATTTCTGTTTTGTGGTTTTGTCTGTTTGGTGTGTGTGTGTGTGTGTGTGTGTGTGTGTGTGTTTCACCATATATAAGAAAGAAGCAGTCCTAATAAGGTTTTTTGTTTGTTTGTTAGCTTATTCTTCATAGCACCGTAAACTCTACGCTAAGCTATTGATTCTTCTTCATCATTTGCTTGATTTAGCTGAAATTCTTCGAAATGCTTTGACTTTGGAACCAAGAAATATGCATGATTAGCAGATGGAATAATTTTTCTTATAGAATGTTCCTTGTAGAATAATTTGTTTGCCTTTAAAGTAAGATGATGATGAAGTAGCTTAAGCACTTTATTAACATTAGTTCTTTTTCTCTGTTTTTATAGTTAACTTTAGATCATTTTATCCCCAAATTATTCTTCTTTAAAATTATAATTTTGGCATTGTGTTAAAGAAGTTATGTTAAAAATAAATTTCTGTGTTATGTTAGATGTCCTTTCAGTTATCGCTTAATCATAAGTACCACTCATATGTAATGGAAAAATGAAGTTAGATTAATTTTAAATTACCTAAGGATTTTTTAAGAACATAAGATGCATATGGAGTAATTTTAAGAAAGCATTTTCATTTACTTCAGATTCATGCAACTTACCATATATATAGTAACTTTACAGTCTAACAGCCCAGTTAACTTGTATGTTATAAATTTTGTACAATGTATCGTATTTTGTCCCCCCAACTAAAAAAAAAAAATTATTCCTTGAAGAAGCACTATAATTTAAGAGTCATAACCATTATGACTACATTTTAGTTTTCAAGTTACTTGGAGGGTGGGCTGGGGGCGAGGGTTTTAATTCAGTATACTCATGTTCAATATCACCAATACCTATGAGTGTTTACCTGCATTAAAATAGAACTCAAGTAGTTGAGGCTATAACTTGAAATAAGGAAGTATAGAATTTAAATACCAGATACTAATCTATTAAGATTTAATATGTCAGCTGAAGTACTGAATTTTTTAGCAGTTTATTTTTTAAGAATTTAGGAGTATCTCATTTTATAAAACTTATTTCTGATACTTTTACATGTCCTGAAAATTAGGAAAGTAATCATTAGGAAAAAGAAAAACTGGGTACGTGAATAATATTTTTTTTAAACAACCATAGCCCATCTCACATTTTAAAAACTTGAATGTTCATTCATCCATTTAATATCACAGTATTCAGTAAATCAGTTATTCATTTTCATTAGCTTATCTCATTTTATGCATGTGTGTCCAGTATGCCAACAAACTAATAGAAATAAGTCTGATGAAATGTTAAACTAATTCATTTTTATATTATGCTTAAACTACCATTCTTTATACTAAATTTTATTAGAACAATGTTAGTAAATACAAGTCCAGGTGAAGTTCAGACTTACTTGTATCACTTGAGATTTCTTTTAGAAATTCGTATTTACTGCTTTATTATGGAAGAAAAATATCTTTTAAGATTTTTTTCTGTGTTTGAATACCTAAGAACATATGCACGTACATATGTGATCTGTAGTGTCACTGTGTGTACACAAGCAAGGCACAAAATACCTTCTCTTTCAAAAACTCTTTTGTCATTTCCTAAATGCTGCGTGGACATTGATATTTCTCACAGTTATCTGAATGACTAGCATTATTTTCTTACAGTATTACCTAAACCTGGCTCTGGCGTGTAAGTACTGAATCCCTTAAAATGCCATCACTAATGGCAGATTGCCCTTTTTTGAAAATAGGAACAAAATTTCTTCTTTTACTATACTCACAGGCATTATATAGGAGCAGGAAAGTACATTAGAGAAGAATTTCCATTTTCCCACCAAGAGAGTTATAATAAACAGAGAGAAAATATGAACCCTCCAAAAACACTTGCAAAATGAAACAGATTGTTTTCTTTTATAATTTGGTCAACTGACATCTGTTTTTGTGATTCTTATAAGACACAAGAATTCCATCCTGATAATGTTCCTTCCTAAGATCTGAAATCTTTATTTTAGGTGGTTTTAGACCATCTTGGCAAATACTTAACAACCGATAGTAGATAAAGTTGTGACTGGGGATTAGAGGTTAGTAAGCTGTGGATGTTTTTCACCATCCCTCCTTTAAAATGCTATTTCTAGGTATTGCCTACATGCATGATGGTAATTACTCTGATTTTTACATAACATGCAGGCTAATGGGAAATTTCCCTTTGAAAATAATTTACCTGTTTTTTTCCTGCTGCTTGGCAGTCCATTCAGTCCCATAACATGTATTTAGTACCCATTGTTACCTACAAATTACAAAGCAGGCCGCTAGGCTGCAAGTGCAAAAACACTGTTTCCCATGAATATGTTACAGCTAAAAGACTGTAATGTTAATTCATGTAAAGAACAGCCTAGGTCAACTTAGCAGATTTTCTAGCAAAACATACAATTCTGTTAACAGGAAATTATAGCATTATTGACTTCAAGTGCTGATCTATGGTCATTTCAGAGTGTTTCATTACCCCCTCATTACCGAATCTGTTAAATGAATACTGCAGAGGTTGTTTTCTTTTCTGTTTTCTTCCCCCCCACCCCCATCCTTCTTTCCAGCAATGGTACAGCAGTTCCATGAAAGTCATTTGTGTGTGGTTGGCTGATAGATTAGACCTGCAGCTTCATATTTACCAACTGAAGACACTAATCAAGATTGTGAAGGTAAACAAAATGTGTTTAGATGTGTATTGCCCAGCAAGCTATAAAGAATAATGGCAAGATATTGACATATAAGAAAATCGTATTTAATATACCTGAGTGGATGTAAGTACTTTAAAAACATCACTTTCAGCAATGATGTGCTGCTGTTTATTCCATTTTCAGTTAGATTACTAAATAAACATAAATTTATTGTTTTTGTATTAATAAATTAAAAGTATTTTGTTATCAAGTAATTATATTTGAAGATAATATATACATAAAGCCCCTAGCACATTTACCTGAATCTAGTAGGTCCACAATAATTTTGTATTAATTGTCTTAGGTATAGAAATGTTTTCTCCTAATATATTTCCTTCATATTTATTAATATATTATTAGGAGGGCTTTTGAATTATATTTGCCCCTAGGATAAGGAGAGTCTCCTTTATTTTGTTATATCCTGATATGAAAGTAAAACATTGTCACTGCCTGAATTCTTTTGGAAGCATGCCCCTTCTTATATGTGAGAGATGATCAGTATGAGTGTCCGGGACCATCCATAACCACTAACAGATGTTATATCAGTTCAATGAGGCCATTTTGACGTCTGCTTTTCAAGAGGAAATGTAATCACGTGCATGTTATATTGAGTGAGTAGGGGCTTTAAAGTAATACATTATTCAGCATGATTTCTCACACCTTATAAATTCCAGTGGAAATACAAAATTTACCACAGGTATAACTTTTTCTTAAAATTGAGACAAATTCTACATTATGGCAAAAAACATAACTCTAAGCTCTTGTGAATCAGCTGTTCCTTTAAATAAGTAGCTTTTACTTCCATTCTAGTACCATTTATCAAATGGTATACATATGCCATTGATGTATTTATATATATGTGTGTGTGCCTATATATGTGTATATCTATATTTGCACGTACATATATATGTATATGTGTATATTTGTGTGTATGTGTGTATATGTACACACACACACACAGTGGTTCTCACAATGTCATTCCTGATATAACATTATCAGCATCACCTGGGAACTTGTTAGACATGCAAATTCTTCGGCTCCACACCAGACTCACTAAGTCAGAGTGTCTGAGAGTGGGACCTGGCCATCTGTACATGAACAAGCCCTCCAGAGGATTCTGATAGAGATAAAGTTTGAGAAGAACCACTGTATCACATCATTAAAAGTTTTATCCACATTAAAATATTTTCCACCATTCTCTTGGTTCCTGCAGTCTCATTAGAATATGAATTCTTTTGTGCCACAGACATATAGGTTATAGAAAGAGCCACCAAGAGGAAAGTTCTATTCTAAAGTCAGAAATCAGCAAATCTACTGGAACATAGAACCAGACCTATAATGTCACAGTAATAGCAATCATGATTAGCCATAAATAACAAGGAAAATTGGTCACCCACTAATTTTAATACACTAAAACATTACATTTCAATTGACAGACTACCTTTGATCGAGAACACTTTTTACCAGGTGTTATTTATTTTACAAAGAAACTGAAAACACATTATGATAACGTTCATGTTTGCTTTAGTTCCTCCATGGTTTCTTCCTTGTTTCTACAAATGTCACTTGGAGAGCTTTCAACTGAAGTTTGTTTTTCATAAAAGAGAATCAGAATAATCTGTGTTTACCTTCTAAATATGTGTATATGTTAAGATTGCAGTCTATACTGTGACTAATATTGGGATTAGCTTGTTCCCCTTAGGATCAGCCATATTTTCAGGCTAATGTCTACTGTGTTCAGGATGTCAGAAATTACATACTCAGCTGATTGGTATTAGTTGATAGATTGGTAAGCTCTTTCTTTGTTTTTATAATAATAATCTCCATTTTTTATTAGCCCATCATCTGTTTATTTCAAAGTTATTCCTCTTCTCATATTGACAGTCATAACAGTTCAAGCACCAGTGAATATTTTAGCAGAAAAAATGATTAATAATTTTGTTAATTATAGGGTGACATTTCCATTGTATTCTAAGCCAGTCAGTTTATCTTATTTTAATATAGTCTTCATTATGGCTACCAACAGTCAAGACTGATAAATATGAAATTAAATTTCATGTATATGTTTGACTTTCCATGTTTTGTTTTTTGCAAGCAGGTCCCCAAACTCAGCCGTTACTTTCTTGGGCTGATACGTTTAATCAACTCATAGGGCTTTATTTAATAACTAAAAGTGATTATTCTCACAATGAAAATTAGGATGAATTAATTCAGTGTTCTAATTGGTTTTTTTTCTACTTTGAATATAAACAGACTTCAACCAATTTCATACATAGATTCATCACTCTTCAGAGCCTATATGGCTATGTTCATTTTCCAGTGAATTTAAGCGGCTATTAAACAGCACATGTATAGAATTGTGCAGGCCCCGAGTAGGCTTTCCTTCCATCCACATCACTTAGACTGGACCTGCATGTTACAGCAGGGTAGTGCATTCTACTCAGGAGCTGAGCCGAGAGCTACTGGACTCTGGCAGCCTAGTCCTTAGAAGCATTGTCATTCTTCTGTGCCCACGGAGACCCAGATGCCATCAAGATGTATACGATAGCCAACTTTGCCCCACAAAGACACTTAGATGCCAGTTGGTTCATTGACGTTGCTAAGAAGAGACAAATTGCAGTAAGGTATTCACAGAAGATTTAGGACTAAGAAATTAACAAAGTTTAAACATCAGAATGGTGTATTTGGGGAAGGGAAAAATAGAATCCTCAAATAATCAAAATGGCTGATGGATTTCTGTTCTCCCTAGAGGCCATTTGACATTTAAAAGCGGTTAACATAAACGAGCTGCCTCTTTTACTAGGAGAAAAGACGACAAGTGGGCAGCACCCTGCGGCAGGCACTTGTCTTAAGTAAGAGCCAAGCAGACCTTCTTGGCAGCCACAGAGGATCTCTAAGTGTCAATAACATGTTATGAATTCTAAAAAAAGAGAAAGAGAGAGATTGAAAGGGTACCTGCCCTGCAGTGCCCCTAACTGCTTATTGCTTAACTAGTAAAGTAAGGAAGCAGAGTCTTAATTTTATACAAATTAGAAAGCCTTTAGGGCTGCAAATCCACAATACAACTCTGTCCTGGCCAACTTACTGATAATTAAGCTAAGTCTAAGGAAAGTCATTCCAATAAAATAAGAAAGTGGGACTCACAAACTTGGCATATAATTCTCAGTGGAACACTAATACTTTATTTCAGATGTATTATCTGTAGATGAATGTTTTTTGTGCTTGATATATTTTTAATCTAACTATCAGAGTGTTAGAGGCTTGAACAGAAATCTCTGTGGTAGTAATACCATGCATACTAGTTACCAGATTTTTCCAGACAAAATTTACCTTACAGAGTTACTTCATGGGTTCTGATGCAAATTACCATATGTTTTGGTGTGAAAGTATCACCTTAGTAATAATAAGCTTTAATGGTTTAGAAAGAGAATATGAGGATGGTGGGATTTATGTGTCTTAACACAAAATATTAAAATCAAATTAAAAGGACTACCCTGGTGACACAGTGGTTAAGAATCCGCCTGCCAGTGCAGGGGACACGGGTTCGAGCCCTGGTCCGGGAAGATCCCACGTGCCGCGGAGCCACTAAGCCCGTGCGCCACAACTACCGAGCCTACGTGCCACGACTACAGAAGCCTGCGTGCCTAGAGCCCGTGCTCCACAACGAGAGAAGCCACCGCAACGAGAAGCCCGTGCACTGCAACAAAGAGTAGCCCCCGTTCACCATAACTAGGGAAAGCCCACACGTAGCACCAAGACCCAACACATTATCTATAAATAGATAGATAAATAAATAAATAATCAAATTTAAATAGTTTGGGTCATTTAAGGAAAAAAACACTGAATTTTTCTTGCTGTTGAGATACTGACCTCAGATACAGTACAGTGTTCCTCACCATTCAGTTTATTTTTTGGACATCAGGTGGACTTTATTTATGCATTTTATTTATAACAAGTGACTATCACTTCTGAAACTTGAATGGTACCATGGGGCATAAGGCAGATGATATAAGACAGGAAGATAAAATGTGAAAACACCAGTGACACCACTACCTTGTAATGGTTCTGTTCCTTCCCAGAAGTCTGTTTGTAGACCAGGTGTGTATATCCAGGGGATTAAGATGCCATCCATCAGCACTTCCTACCTCAAGTGAATAAGCACCTTCAGCTGAGCTGTTTGAATATTATATTTTCCTTCTAATTGTGTTGAGTGAAATCAGGCATCCCTTAATGTTAATTTTCAGCTATTGGAGTTGTAATTTGGGGCCAGGAAGTACAACATTCCTTTTTTTATTTGACTTTTTCCATCTGTTAAGTGCAAACCCCCAAAAAAGTGACTGTTAGCAATCATTTAGAACAAAAAAGTGGCACATTGATATGTATTGATACTTTGGTCCAGTCAATTGACATCTGGCTGTTTAGTGTTCTAAATCTTAACATAGGACAGTTAAAAAAAAAATCTTTAAAGATATTTAGCATTTTAATGGCCTTAGAAGTGCCCCTACAGAATGAGCTATCTTCATTTGTGCTTTGTTTCCCCATTGAACTAACTCTAGACTTTTTCTACAACTTTAAAAATCAATAATAAAATACCAGCCTTGTTTGTCATCAAAAACTCATGTGTGAAGAAAGTCTCACTTAGGAGAAAAGTAAAATAAGGAAAGTTTTATAGGTTACATATCTTAAGAGCCACAGAAATGAGAGTTTCGTTGTTATTCTTGTTTTTAAGAATCACTGTATAAACAGTAACATGATATTTGCACTATTTTTGACAGATAATACACCAAATAATAATTTACTGTTTCACACCAAAAAAAGTAAATATGTTTTATTAGCCCATCAATGGAAGTTTAATGCCAGAATTTAACACTTCACATTCCAAGACAATTTCAGAAGGGCAAAATTCATACAGACATTTAGGTGTACACAGAGTTTAACCAGTGTGCATATAAATAAACTTTATAATTCACAAATGCTGAAAATGCAAACTTCTTTTACTGATAATAGGATTAATCCTCTTCCCTCCACACAAATTCCCCAAAAACCTAATGCATTTTATAAAATGTAACGTATTAAAATAAAGCCTCCTCAATTGAAAAACTAAGAATTCCTTCATATTGAAAATGTACATAAGTACATATAATTTTACCTTTGTTACAGGTTATTCAAATAGTAAATTCTGTGCAATTAGTAATATTTTGGGGGGAAAAAGCTCATTTGTCATCTGACAGTCACAACATTTTGATCTACTCAGAGTGATTCTAGTTTGAATAGCACTATCAAAAGTCTCTCATTTCATTTGCTCCCCAGAACCTACACCAACAGGATGACTGGCCTGGGCAGCTACAATCCGAGTCCATTAGTGAATTGTCCAAGATCATTTCTGAAATGCCAACTGAGTATATATACATTCAGACATACACATATACATCCATCCAGACATATAATCCATAAGGGATCTAAGCAAATTCTCTCTCCTTCCTCCAGAAAACCTATAGGGACTTCCGATTGCAGGGTGTGTTGGAAGGCACCCTGAACAGTAAGACCTATGACACCCTGCACAGACGTTTAACAGTAGAGGAGGCTACAGCTTCTGTTTCGGAAGGAGGTGGACTTCAGGGCATCACGATGAAAGACAGTGACGAAGAAGAAGAAGGCTAATAAAATGCAGCTCTGCAGAAGGAAGGAGGGCCTTGACATTGTTTATTTTGTACCTGTCCTTGTAATTACATTGATAGTTTGGACCAAATATAAATGCTTATATTTCACTCTACATTTTAAAAAGTTAACCTGAAGCAGAGTTAAAAGAGAAAACGCCAAGTATTTTTTTGAAGAAGATCAGCCTTTTTTGTGCAGCTTGATCTAAAATGATGACCTTTGGCTCTGTGATTGGAACATGAACCTTTTTTTTTTTAAAAGAAGATTCGACTTTTTTTCCTGTAGTTACATCAGAGTCATGTCGCTTGTATGAAGTGAAATATGTATTTCTCATGATACGACATTGCGAGAATAAGCCACTTCTCATCATTGCGCCAGCTCTATTGTACGTACCCTTGTTAAAATGGCGTGTACTTGATAGTTCATCATTTACGTGCAAGGTTTGTTTCCTAGTTAATTTATCATTGTTGTGATGTGTGTTAAAACTTTAACCTTGGTTCTTAGTACTCTGAATTGGTCTTCCTGGGCTTAAAGGATCGCCAAACCCAAATATAAGCTAGATTATCCAATGGGCTTGTGTCTTGTTCCATTCTGAACATTTTTTCCTTCAAGTATAAAAATCCCAAAGTGTGGGGTAGTAAGTGTGCTGTCGTCAGCATACCATATTCTCCTACTACTAAGTGTAACAGCTTGCAGGCAATAAAAGTCCACTTGGTCCTAACCACTTATGTATTTATTAGACTTGTATAAATTAAATACAGTAAAATATGTTTGCAGTATTATAACCATCTCAGCAATTTGGCTCTGTGTTTTTATTGTGTTTGTTTACAATCAAATGAGTAAAAGGTATTAACACTGCTTTCCATCTAGTAGGCACTCACACTTGTTAAAAGAACTGGTTAAATATGAGAGCATATTTCCATAGCAAAGCTGATGTTGACTACATACTCATAGATTGTGTATTACTAGTTAACATTAGCAATTAGTTAATAATGAGTAATGCTAGAAATGCTAGTAATGTTAACTAGCAATTGACATATTAACACTTTTTCTTCCCCCAAAGTATTTTCTGGCTACAATTTTAAATTGTAATTTATCTTTGAATTTTAATTTTTGTATTTTTTTCAAAAATATGCTGGCACTCATTCATAAGTAGTTTGTTTTGTTTTGTTTTGTTTGCGGTACGCAGTCCCCTCACTGTTGTGGCCTCTCCCGTTTCGGAGTACAGGCTCCGGATGCGCAGGCCCAGTGGCCATGGCTCACGGGCCCAGCCGCTCCGCGGCATGTAGGATCTTCCTGGACCGGGGCACGAACCCATGTCCTCTGCATTGGCAGGCAGACTCTCAACCATTGTGCCACCAGGGAAGCCCTGGTAAGTAGTTCTTAAATGAAGTGAGTTAATGCAGAATAAGTGAAGGTACCCCTGAATTTGTGTAAACATAAGTTCTGAAGCTTTGGAAGTGAAACAACTTCTTGGCCCTCCAAATTTATTCTGGTGCCTGACCTAGACTAGCCCACAAAAACCTGTTTAATCCACAGTTATTATATAATATTGTTTGGGCTCAATTCTGGGTCCTAGGGGTAAGAGACCCTGTGCTACAAGATAAACATGAATGGAAATTTCTTCTCCTTTTCTGGATTAGAGACCCACTCTACGAGCTCAGTATTGTTGAAAGGCAGTTTGTCTTGGAATGCTTGTCCTTCCCTTTCTTCTCCACCCTCATGCCGATACTATCCTTTCTCAAGCCCTCAGGTGTCTAGTCAGGCTACCCTCAAATCCCCAACGGTACCCTCCCCAAGCTGGCTCTGCACAGCTCAAATTGCTCTCTACTTGGAACTTACCCACCCTTCTTTTCCTTTATATCGAATGTCTATTTCTTTGGTGCAGCTTATCTCAGAGTAATTGGCCCATCTTGTCCTAAAGTATGAATAACTGATGAACCCACGCCCTTAGCCATATATATATACATATATATATGTATATATATATACATATATATATATACATTTTTTTTAAAGGAAATATCTAGCTGATAGAATTCGGAAATAAAGGGGAAAGCATGTGTTACAGGGGAAAGTACTTGGGGCCAGCAGGGTCTCCCTGCTGACCTGACCTATTTAACCTGCCCACTGGCCCTCTTTGCTGGTCAGCCTCTTGTAGCTTCTCTCCAGATTTGGGTATTCTCTGCTCCTTCCCTTAGACACCCAGGAGATTTCTAAACCTGCCACCCCCACTCCAGCCTCCACTGGCTTGCAGGGAGAGGACAATAGCAATCAAGGGCAGGTAGTGGAGATGCTCACAGTTTTCTGAGGACTGTGTGGACTAACCTTTGAGCCACAGAGGGATGTATGGAGAGAAATTTATAAAGTCACCCTGAAAAAGAATGAAAAGTTAGTTTGGGGCTTTTGCCCAGAAATGCTCTTCAACATAACTGCAAATTGCTTGAAATGACTTCATAATTCATCCGTATGTATAGCTGTGAGAGTGGATGCCCAAGCATCTGTCTATTAAAGGATACCAAGTGTTCTTTAAAAACAAAACAAAACAAAAATCTTTTTAAAAAGAATTTAATTGGAAACCTAACAAATGTAGTACAATTTTTGAAAGGAAAATCATTTTTAACTTCAAAGAAATAGTTGTACTCTCCTAAACGGTCTTGGGGAAGGGGGGGAAAAAAAGTGCATTCTTCGGCCAGTTCGGTGAATGTTGCAGGAGAAAATAACTAATACCGTCTAATGTCCAGCCGGAATGAGTTTGTTAAAGAACACACCTAGAGGGAAAGTTTCTCCAAGCTCTTGTTGGAGAAAAATAATAATAAGGCCTTTTTCCCGGAAAGGGAAAGAACCACATAGAGCTTAACGCAAACCTCCCAGCTCCAGCTGGGGGTCGTTCTTGTATTCACGGATTTTTCCACTTGAATTCCCCTTAGTTCTTGTTCATTGTCCCTCGCTCTGGAGAAAGGATTTCCTGCTACTTTTGCAGTAAGCGCCCATGCAAAGTGTCTCGGGGCTCCCCCCGCGCCCCCAGGGTCACAGTCGGCCTGGTCCCGCGGCGATCGTGGGTGAGGGGGTCCGTGAGCTCCGGGAAGGTGCCCTTGGTGGGAAAGCGGCCACTCAGCTGTCGCCATTCCTGGACCGCGAAACCCCTCCCGAGAGGGGCGCGCCCCGAGCCACCCCGCGAAAGCCCGGGGGAACCCCAGGCCCGGCGCCCCGCGCAGACCCGGTCTTCCGAGCCCCTCCCGCCACGCCTTTGGTAGAAGGACCGATGGAAGAAATTAGAGCAAGAGCTCGATCGCTTTCATTTCTTACTCCCAGCACAGAAAATGGAAATTTCCCGGTCCGGGTCCCTAAAGGGAGGTGACAAATCGATGTTCCCGAGAGTTGTTCACGCGCCGCTGGCGGGGTAGCTACGCGGCCGAAGAGCCACCGAGTCGGCCCCCGCGCGCTCGCGCTTCACCGCAACCCCGGCCCCGCCCACAGCCCTTGACCCTTCCCAGCCCCGCGGGGTTTGTGCGGAATTCGGGCCTGGTTTCGGGGGGGTTCGGGAGGATGGGGCTCATCCCGCCTTTACACTGAGTCCCCATCCCTCCCCGGTACTGTGTAGCGAGACGCCGTGGGCCTGGGTCTCCTTTTCCCTTCAAGTCCAGATCGCTGGACCCGCAGGAACCTTAGGGAAAAGCTGGCGGCTCGTTTGGCCCCGGTATTTAACTGCAGATGGAGTCAAGCCCAGGGGCCTGGGCAGCAGGCCAGAGGCAAAGAGCAGTTGCGACCCCGCAGCAGCGACGGCTCCAGAGCGCTTCACCCCAACCTCGGGAGCCCAGGGCGAGGCTTCCTCCCCCACCCTCCCCGCCTTCCGCCGCGTGGGCTGGTAGATGAAGGGCAGATGTGCCTTCAACTGCCCTTCTCTGTAACGTTGAAGCATGATACTTTAAGGGGCCCGAGGCGAGTGCAGGCTGTGAGCGCAAAGCTCTGAGCCTGGGTTCTAGAAGCCACGGTGACGGTCAGCCACAGCCTCTATCCAGGTGCAATACGTGATCGTTTTAAGGGAGAAGGAGGCACTAGACTGTGAGTGTGTACAGCCGAGAGACAGGAAGTAAGACAAGAATTCGATGTGTTTCCCAAGTTGAAAAAGACCTCGATTTAAAGATCTACCCAGAAACGTGTGAACGTGACACAGCTTGGGGAACCGTAAGGGGCCAGGGCCTTAGAGCCAGGAAAGCCTGGGTTTGAGTGCCAACGACTACACTTACCCGCGTCCGAGCTCTGTGTACTTGGGCAAGTTATGTAACCTCTCTGTGAAGTGGGCGCTCAGTTACGAAGGTGATGCGTATAAGTTGTGGCCGTTGTTGACTCTTCATGTGGGGGTGGATTCGAAAGAAATTGTGGGAGGCCTGCCCCTGCCAACATACACCACCACTCGCACCGCCCAGTTCTCGCCGGGTTGGCACAAGGTGTAGATCACAGTCATCTCGGCGGACCTTTGGCTCCGTCCCTAGCGTGTCAGTGGACTGGCTAGAACTGTCCAGTTTCAAGTTTATTTATACAGCCAGCCTAGTGGGAGGAGAGGAGACCGGGAGGGGCCAGTCGACTGTCTCCCAAAAGGGCCAGTATTCCGAGAGCAGCCCTTGGAGCTGCAGTTAGGAGGGGAGGCGGCTGGAGACGTGTCTTTGGGTCCACGTGAGGATATTGTTTGTTGGTCAGGGCCTCCGAAACCGGACGGTTATGATGGGGGGGGGGGGGTGTCGGACCACAAGCGAGGAATCTCAGGCCTCTGCCTGTGACCAGTAGGTTGAGTTCAAGAGAATTTCAAGGGCAAATTGGTGTTCATTAGTGTTTTCCCAGATTTAAGGAGGCCTTTAATGGCGTCCTGCGTCTCAGCCCAGGGATGCGCACACGGCACGGGAAAATGCGAAGCAGCACCGGGAGTGAGGCAGAGGAGACCGAAGGCCGCCCCGGCGCGCCCCAAGGTGACCTCCGCCGTGGCAACAGAGTAAAAAACAGCAGGCTCTGAGGACGACAGCCAGCACGGAGTCCTGCCCCGGAGTGTTGAACTGACCGCCCTTCGAAGCCGTCAGGGAAACGCCAATAGCGTAGAGACCCAGCGCGGGGCCGAGGGCGCGCCCAGGGTCACAAGCCAGGATGTCCGTGGCGAGGGAGGTGCGAGCCCAAGGTGGTGCCGGGGCCAAGAACGCGGTGGCCTTGAGGAGGGAGAAACTGATCACTCACCAAGGGGAAAGAGATCGCACCCTGCTTTGTGCCAGGACTAGAGCTGCTTTTTTTTTTTTTTTTTTTTTTTTATGGTACGCGGGCCTCTCATTGTTGTGGCCTCTCCCGTTGCGGAGCACAGGCTCCGGACGCGCAGGCTCAGCGGCCATGGCTCACAGGCCCAGACGTAGAGCTGCTTTTTTAACTGGAGAGATGTTCCCCATCCCCATCATTCCTTTAAGATAGCCTACTTGCAGCTTCCTGAGTTCCAGACCTAGGAAACAGGATTCGTGCCCCACGCCCATCCTCCCACTCCGGAATGCCACGTTGCCTTTAATCTCCCCTACTTTGCAACTTTACACTGCGGGCCGCTGTATTTGTGTGCTTATTTGCAGTGCGATTAAAAAAAATAAATCAGGGCTTCCCTGGTGGCGCAGTGGTTGAGAGTCCACCTGCCAATGCAGGGGACACGGGTTCGTGCCCCGGTCCGGGAAGATCCCACATGCCGCGGAGCTGCTAGGCCCGTGAGCCATGGCCGCTGAGCCTGCGCGTCCGGAGCCTGTGCTCCGCAACGGGAGAGACCA